GGGTGGGGGTGGGGGTGGGGGGACTAATTCCACACAGCTGATGGGAAGGGGAATCGGACTTGGCCTTTGTAGAGCCCTCCGAACAGGGGAGAAAGAAAAAATCAATTCCAAATCGGCTGACGTTCCTTTTGGTCTGGGGGCCTCGGCTGCGTGGACTGGGTCCCCTGTGGCTTGAGGGTCCCCGCACTGACCGGCTCAGATCCTGCCGGCCCCAGCTCTGGTGCATGTTGACCAGACCGCACTCCGGCGGTTCCCACCCCCATCCCGGGGTCTCCTTCCCTCCCGAACCAGGGCGGCGGAAGGAGGAGGGACCGAGTCGGAGACGGCAGGGCCTGGCGATCAGTTGGTGGGGGCGGCGCCGGGCCGGGGCCGGGCCTCACCACCGCCGCCGCCGGAGCCGACCGCACGCCGCGCAGCAGAGCGGGGTCGAGGCCAGCACTAAAGCGGCATCCGCGGCCTGGCAACCCAGCCTGGCTGCTTCTCCCGGCGGCGGCGGCCAGGCCCGAGCGCAGCGCCGGGCCCCTTGGCCCAGCGCGCCAACTGGCCTGGCCGTAGCCGGCGGTCCGCGGATGTTCTCCAGCGCCCGCGGCCCCCTCGGATGCGCTCAACTCGCCAAGGTGCGCTAACAGGTCCTCCAGAGTTTCCGGCTTCTTTCCCTGGTCGGAGGCCGCAGCCTGGATCCTGGGCCCTCCCGCACAGTCCCTCGGCTCCCCCAGCAGCCAAACCGGCAGGGCCTCTCGAGGCTTGAAAGGATCGAAGCTCCTGGAGAGCGCGCGTCCCAGGTGGGAATCCCCAGCGGCTGGCCGCACCCGGGACGGGGAGGGCCAGCAACTTTCTCCTAAGTCCCAGGAGGCAGACCCACCCGGCCTGCCGGGGTCGGTGGCGGCGCGCACCTCGAGCCCCTGAGTCGCCCCTAAAGAACGCCCCCCGCAGCCCTGCCCCATTCCTACCTCGGACCAGGATCCGGCGGCAGTAATCCGGATCCGCGGTTGAATTGGATTTACTTTTGTTACAATCTTCCGCGGCGCCAGACGCAGAGAAGGCGCCCTGCGGTTCCTTGAGGAAGGCGGCAGGGAGGTTCCCCTCCGCGCCCGTGCTCTCCCGGCTCTCCTTGTGCGCGTTCTTCGAGACCCGGGCAGCCTCTGCGTCCGAGTGGCACCGAACGTCCATTTTGTCTCGTTTCCCGAACATAGGAGAGGCAAGAGTAACAAAACAAAAAAGAAAAAAGAAAAAAAAGGGGGGTGGGGGGGGAGGAAAAAAGCAGACGGGGGACAAAACCGCTACAGTGCAGCCCCTACGCTCGGTCCGGAGAGAGGCAAGCGGCAAGAATGAATGCCCCCGCGGGGCGGCTGCGGCGGGCGCGGGCAGGTCAGCGGCGACCGCCGAGTGGCGCGCTCGCGGAGAGGCGGCGGGTCTGGTCGAGGATCCCGGTGGAGCAGCGGCGAAGCCGCCTCGTCAGCGCCCGCGTCCTCTGAGCACGTCCACTGTCCCCAGCCTGGCGATCAGGTAGCGAGCAGCGCAACTCCGAATTGCTGCGGCTCCCGCCTATTACTGAGACTGCGAGTAGCAGTTGTCCGACACCCGGGGGGACGCACACTCGCTGTTGCAATTGATTACGGGTAATTTCGCAGCCTCCACGTTTCGGCTACCTCATGAATACACTAAATTGTTTGGATAATATATCAGACCGTAATGGATGGTTTCTGTCCTTGTCCCCAATCAAGTAGGGGTTTAGCCAGTGAATAAACGGAAATGATTGGTCTTGCTTTCAGGAAACACACAATCAAAGACCCACACTTCCAGAAAAACTTTTGACAAGATTCATCCTGAATTGTTAGTACCGTTAGCAGGCATTATTAACTTTCCCTATGCCTTTGACCCTCCTGCTCACACACTGGCTAGAGGGGTTTTCTCCACACTCGACAGATAGAGCTGAATGAGGATGGAGGGGGGAAGAAAAACAAAAAACAAAAACCCTTACACACCCTGCTGCAGAAGAAAGCAGTCGCCTCTAGGAGGGGAAAAAGGAGTGGGGGGGGAGAAAAAGCTTTCCCCAAAAGTACTTTCCCCACCCTCTAAAAAGCCAAGCTTTCGTCCCAAACAGCTCCTTAACACACCTCGACGCTGACAGCCATCTTAAACTGCCACCTCTCTTCATTTAGTTCCAGTTGGATTTTTTCATGCCTGCACCTCCAGCAGCCCTGAGGCAGCCCATTCAAAGGGCAGCTTTGTACTCAGAGAGTCCAGCAGGAGAGAGAGGGGGAGAGGGAGAGAGAGCCGAGAAAATCTGAACTGTGAGATCTGCTTAAAAAAAAAAAAAGTTTTCCCCTAGCTATTTCATTGTCTCTGCTACAATATCTTTGAGAAAAGCAACAGCCAGTAATCCAATAAGAGCATTGATTAGGCCACAATGATTCAATTCAAGCGCATGGCCTTGTGCAAGGAGCATGCTCCAGCCCTTCTCGTCACCTTGCCGGGGCAGAAGCCCTCTCCACGCCGCTCTCCCCATTCATTCCTTTATGGGAAATGCGGAGCAAAAGGAGTGAAAGATGGCAATTATCTAATTGGACTATTAACAAACAGTCCTCTGAGTGCGGCGGTCTGGCGTGGCTCCTGGGCGGGGGAAGGGCCGTGTTCCCTGCCCTCATTCACAAAGAGTGCAGGGGCCGGGGAGGAAAGGGGGCTTTTTAAAGGGCGTGGGGAGTGGGGCGGGGGTGGGGGAAGACGAGAGGTGGGAGGTTTGGCTGAGAATTTTTCCACACAATTCCAAGAATGGGGGCGGAGGCGGGCGGGGAAGGGGAAGGG